ATCAGCGTAATTTTGTACTAAATGTGCAAGTTCTTATTCAAAATTCCAAAAAATTGTGAAACTCTCGGCTTTCAATAACATTTGAAATATCGTAATTTTTTCCTATGCTGAAATTGAATCAACATCGCTCTCATGAAAGTAAATGACTCCTAAATTGCCCATGAACTTTCAATTTTTTTCTAACAGTGAAACGTAAAATTTTAGATACTGCATTTCTCTGAGAATTGAGCGAATTCAGAAGGAAATGGCTAGACACTTTTTTTGAAGCGAGGAAAAGTTTCTATTGCACGTGTGTTTAATCAATTCTCCTAAACCGACTCATTTCGGAGATATCTGAGACAGAATCTACTTTTAATTATCGGGCTTGAATGTGCTACAGAACTAAATGCGGATTTATCTTGATAGTGGTTCTACGACAAATTCTACTGAATGGAAAATTATTATTTTCATCAGTACTCCCAAGAATGAAATAAATTGACGAAAAAAATGTAATGAAATTTTTTAAAAATTTTTTCAAAAGTTTTTTTTAAATAAAATAGTCAAAAAACGAATGTTTGGCGTAATTCAAGCAGAAGAAATTTTTTTTCGATTTTTTTTTCACGAAAAAAATTCAAGCAGAAATTTTTTTTTGATTTTTTTTCACGAAGAAATTTTTTTTTTGCTTGAATTACGTCAAACATTCGTTTTTTGACTATTTTTTTTCCCCCCCTGTTTCATTTTGCCCCACTCTCCTCTAGTAGTCTCGTTTAAACCGTTTTACCGCTTTGCTACTGAATTCCAACCAAGAATTTTTAACAGAATATTAAAAGAAAAAAAAATGTCAAGAGACTTTATTGTAGCCCCCTAAATTTCCACCTCAGACGACAATATGTGTTCGTGATATTTTATTCTACAATCAATATTCACCAGGATAATCCCCTGATTATGTTATAACCATTCTGAAGAAGTCTATCAACATTTTTTTTGTTGAAGTCTTTAAGAATCACTCAGAAAACCTTTTAAAAAGAAGAGAAGAATGTTCAGAAAAATGGTTTGCGTGTGTAGTACTCACCCGCACATTCGACACGCAACTGAATGCCGGGATTTCTTTGATCAACTGTTCTTGAGGCCTGATCTTTATAATTAGACATCAGCTCACGGTCTGCTCAGTGGTTGCGCAATGTAACAAATTCAAAACGACGTTTTAACGCGTCAGCTGATGATTTTTTCGCGATCGAAATAACCCAGTGCTTCGTCGTTTCGCCACGCGTAAACACCTTCGATATTCGTTAATCTCCTCTTCCCTCGGTTCATTATTTTTTTTTGTGAATTATGGAGTACATCAATCGATTGTTACACCGGAATTCGCCGAACAATTCGACCTCGAACTCACCAGAGCCACTGGTACAGTTTTTACGAGTTGTTTTCATCTTCAAGGACGTGCGAATGGTCTTGACAATTCTTCGGTACCAAAGACCGTTTCAGCGTTGTCGTTTGAAGTTGTATGAGTAAACTTCAGTTGAGTCATTGAGTGTGACGAAGAAAGATAAATTCAAAAAGCCCAAAAAAACGTTCACTGCACGGAGAGAAATATTCAGTAAAAATTACGTATCTTTTCCGCAATTCCGGAGCGAAATGTGGTTGTAGGAAATTTCGCGGAACTGTCACGGAATTTTTCCGGAGCATTCCGTAATTTTTATCTGAATCTCCTGCGAAAAATTACGATACCGTCACTTGAATTTTCTGATTCGATTCCGTAATCGGTGAGTGAATTGTGAGTTCCGTAATTTTTTCTGAATATTTCTCTCTCTGTGTTAGGAAAAAATGAAATTTCATGGACAGTTGACTACTAATTTTCAGGACAGTGACACTGAATGCGAATTAGGGGGAAAAAAATCATGAAATTTCAGGCTTCACTGAAAATTCAGTAACATTCCTGAATTTTAATCAGCATAAAGACGAGAATTCCTTAATTCATTTGAATTTCCAATCTAATATGGCTACTCAGTGCTAAATTACATTGGATTTCATCATTTTTTCTCCTCTGCACTGAGAAGACGAGAGTTTTTTTACCTGGAGAGAAATGTTCAGTAAAAATTACGGAAGTCACAGTTCGCTCACCGATTACCGAATCGACTCGGAAAATTTAAGTGACGGTATCGTAATTTTTCACAGGAGAACGCTCTGGAAAAATTCCATAGTTTTAGGTCAAAATTACTTGACAGTTCCGTAAAATTTCCTGCAATCACATTTCGCTCCGGAATTACGGAAAAGATACGTCATTTCTATTGAATATTTCTCTCTGGGTAGAAGTACGTCCTTACTTATATCGAGAAATTCATGGCTCAAAAATTACCAAGCGCAGAATATCTCGCACTAAGAAAAATAATCTTACTCCAAGAAATTTTGTACTTGTGCGAAAGATGAGGACAATTGCTTCATATCAAGAAAACGAGTTCTCAAGTCGATTCAAGTGGTTTTTGCATTAGAATATTTTAGAATTGAGGCTAAAAACTAGTAAATGAATTAATTTAGTAGCGAAGTGCAAGACATTTTGTTCCTGCAAATTTTCACGCCACGAGTTTCTTGATGTAAGTAAAGACGTGCTTCTAAAAAAACTTACTTTTTCTCAGTGTAAATCGCATTCAGTGTCACTGTTCTGGAAATTCAAATTCGTAATAGTACATTACGTCATGAGGCGATAACAGTGTTATCTGACGAATGTGACTTTAAAATCCTAGCCGAAGGCGAGGATTATAAGTACATTCGTCAGATAATGCTTTTATCTAACGGCAAACGGCGTCCGTAAAGTTCACGAGTGTGCATAAAATGATTTCTCGTGCGAAGCTTTACGCACGAGAAATCAATGTACGCACTTGTGCACAAAAACATTCACATTACCCCCACTACCGTTTCGAACAGTGAACTCGGCAGGTACCACAAAAAATAGGATGTGTTACACGTGCGGGAGAAGAAGCAACTTTACTGAAACTTTACGCACTAGTAACACAATATACTAGTATGCCATTGGGCCCGAAAACTGCGATCTAACCGAGCGAAGCGAAAATGCACATTTCGCCACGAGGTGAACATAGCAGCAGTGTCAAAGAATAGTACATTACGCAACTAGTGCGGAAAGCAGGCGGTTACTCACGAGGGCGGCGCAGCCGCCCGAGTCTGCAGTCCGCACGTGTTGCGTATAGTATTTTATATGATAAGTGCGTGATGAAGTCTGGGGCCGGAGGGGGGGGGGGGGGGGGGGGGAAGCCCCCCCCCCCCCGCCTAACTCTTCATCACTATCAGGAATTATACGATTTTGGCTCATTTTATCTGCTTCGAAAATCACCTTTTCATTTTTCAGTCATTCCATGTATTCACTATTCGGAGGTTAGATTTCCTTCCTTGTTATTCTCTTTTAATAGGTGATGCTCATGCGCGGCATGTGTTATTTCGGGTTTCAG